ATTAAATTTAATTAGGGTTAGGGTTAGGGTTAGGATTAGGGTTAGGGTTAGGGTTAGGGTTAGGGTTAGGGTTAGGGTTAGGGTTAGGGTTATTATTGCAAAATAATTGCAATTCTTCGCTCTACAAATGGGCGTTTGTTCTCTTGTCAAAGGCAAAGCAAATCGAAGCAGCCAATCAGAAGGCGCTAAATTCTTCGCTATGTTATGTTGACTAGGAAAAAAAAACTCGCGGCCTGGCTATGCACTATCATGTGGCCGGGCCGGGGGTTGGGCATGTGGCTAGTAGTAGTACCACTAAGTAGTACTAGTAGTAGTACTAGATTATCACATAGAAATAAATGTACTACTAATATTAGTTAGACTCGACTACAGTACACTATATATTATTATTGGTTACCAATATACGAAATACTATAACTTCAGAAAGATTAGTCTTCGAATCAAATTCCAATAAATTATATTATCGAAGATGGAGAGAGACAAAGTCAAAGTTGATCAAACACAAAATCAACACTGCGGATGGCAGACTCAGTAGAAAATGCCTACACATAAATGTATAACCTCATAAATATTAGTCTTCAAAAGTCCTAGGGACTATAACAAAGACGAATAGAGAAGTGGATCAAATCGATAGATCAACACTGGAAAAAGTTGCAATTTTGCAATTTACCAATGATGAAAGAAGATAATTCCAATACGGAATAACAGAAACAAAGAAGCTAAACTTAAAAGGATCCTTAGAAGATGGCACGTTGTAAACAATGATCACGCTCAGATGATCGAGTGCATCGGACAGGCTTCATTAAGCAAGAGAGAATGCCAACCTTCACCTGACCATGATAAATTTTATGGAAAGTTATGAGTTTAGCATAGAGAAAGCGAACACGAAGAGCTAGGAGGCCAATTAAGATGAGCCAAAACAACATCAACACTATCATGATGGTTTTTGGAAACCCATCTCGCAGCTTTACGCTGAATGGCATCCAATTTAGAGCAGTTCTGGAGTGTATAGGGGCACCAGCCTGGCGAAGCATATATTCTAATATGGGCAGAACCATAGTTTTAAAAGCCAGGGACCAAGTTTTTGAATCGCCGTAACATACCAAAGGAACAAGATGCTTTCTTACAAATATAATCAATGTGGGCATTCCAGCGAAGATCGCTACTAATTATAACTCCCAAATATTTGTAAGTAGGCGTAAGAGATAGATATTTATGGTACAGTGAGTATGTAAAAGTCAAGGGTGATTTGGAGCGGGTGACCTGAAGAATTTTACACTTTTCAGCATTGAACAACATACCCCACGTTGTTGCCCACTTCTCAGCATGAGTAAGGACACTCTGGAAGGCTAACTGATCACCCATATTGTAGATGGTGCAGTACAGAACTGCGTTGTCAGCAAAGAGGCGAATAGAAGTAGAAGGGTCAGTTTCGGCCAAAAACTCATTTATAACGGATAAGAACAGCAATGGACCAAGCACAGAACCTTGGGGACAGCAGCCACATCTGACATGCTGCCGTTAACACAGACAATTTGAGATCTATCCTTTAAAAAGTCAGAAATCCAATTTAACGTAGTACTAGTAGTATCCAACCCCAAGTGACCAAGTTTGAAAATTAAGAAATCATGAGAAACCCTATCAAAGGCTTTACTGAAATCCAGAGAGACAGGATACCAGAGAAGTGTTGCCGAAAGGAGGTGTTGATCCTAAGCGGATCTTGCGCGCAGTTCCGCGGCAAAGCGCATGCGACCGCGGGAACGTCCTACGACAGTATGCAGCGCTGGCAGCTATGGATCCGTGCGCCGAATGCATAGGCCAGCGAACAGTCCGCAATTTTAGCGGGGGACACAGAGGGCAGACATTTGGGACGTGGGAGAAAATCGCGACTTACATGGGGGGTCGTACAGATGGGAGGGGGGCGAGAGCGAAGCTTTTGATTTCGCCGTGGTTCCATTTCCGTGTGGTCTTAGGCGTTTTCACTATAAGTTCTAAACATAAAAAGTTCCAAACATAAGAAAAATCGGACCATTATTTAATGGAAAATTTGATAAAATAGTGATACGAAATAGTACGCGGATTGTGCGCCCAGTTACCTCTTTCAAATCATACGCTGATTAAGAATCGCCATTCGCTGCATTTCCCTGGAGCTCCGCCCACTTTAAAAATAGTGCTAGCATTGTGGCAGTGGTATCCTGAGTGTACTAACGAGTTAGTATTTTGATTTTCGATTTTCGATGACAGCAGGCAAAAGTGCAGCATTTGAATACAGCTTACTTCATTAGCATTATATATAGTATCTAATGATTTCCTGACAGCTTCTTTTTCTATATATAAACAATTAATACATTATGTGGCATCTCTATCATCTATGTGACCTTGCCTCATATGCACCCCTAGTGCGCAAATGCAGACGTTATAACTCCGCTTTGCTAATGTGAGGGTGCGGGTTTATCATCACCCCCATTACTAGGGTCAGCGTCGGCTCGGACTAATGGCAGTAATGCACGCCTACCACTAGATACAATAATTGTAACCCAAACCCAGGAGGATAGGGTTACAAAGCGTCCGTATGGTTTTGTGCGGAAGAACGCCTGAGTGAATCACTCAGGGCGGTTTGCTGGTGCGTTTTCAGAGACTAGAACTTCCAAACTGGGTTTATTCTAAACACGAACCTTTCTCCGCTATCCGGGAACTTACTATGTACCGCAATACTCTGTATTAAACTAATATAACCTGTTACAAAAATTCGAAGTGACGAGCGGCGGATATTTCGAGCGCCATTTCTGTTGACCTGTGACGTACGCATTCCCAATGCGCATAGCGATCGGCAAACGCAGCGCCCTCCGATTGGTCGGTGAATCCGCTCTTCAAACCGAAGTACGTCACAGGTCAACAGAAATG